TAGTTTGTCAAATGTGGATCAAAGGAATTCCCTCTTTCCACAAACATTCATAAGAAACCCGTGTCCAGTGATAGTTGATACTTCGTAAGCACAGATATTGAATGAACTTTGACATACTACCTCTGTTTCAAAATAATGGAAGTTCTGGATTTATCCCAAGTTAACCTCGTTTAAGTTTGACCAAGTTTATCGAAAAATATATTAACATCTATAACACCAAATCAGTCTCGATGCTTTATGGCATATATTTCCATACGATCTTAGCACAGTTTTTTATAGAGTTGGTCAAACTTGAGCAAGGTTGACTTAAGATAAACCTAGAACTTCAATTATCTTGGAATGGAGGGAGTATCAAATTATATGGATTCAACAAATTAAAATAATGTCATAAATCTGGCAAAAGAAAATCATTACATATAAATTACACGTGTCTCATAATTTTACCACATTATATTAGAAATAAATCATGCTGTCCAATACATATAGTGCAAATATAGTACATGTGCATATGTGAGCACCTTACGATGAGGTGGCACCTTACGATGAGGCAATGTTGTTAGTAATGTTATTTTTCTTCAGATTTCAGTTATGTTGATGCATGGGTATTGCTTGTACTACAGATAAGCAACTTTTTGCACATGTATAAGTTGAGATGCATCGATGTCTGATGCATATGGTACCTATACTGGACTGGTTAGGAGCTTAGGATACAAGACTTGGAGAAAGCACGATGGTATGCTAAAAAGAAATGGAAGAATAACTACTCTTTGAAGAAAAAAAATGCTAAAATACTCATGTACAAATAAGATGCGTACGTAGGGTGGGTGAAAATCATGGGTATTATTTAGTGATCAAATTTGAGTAACGAATTGTATTTTCTATAAGTTCATTTAGGAGATTATGTATAGAACATGTCTTTACAAACATGTTCTGCTTCATATGAAGTATTCCTATTCCTCCATAGGAACAATGTTATGCAGTAATATAGTTCAAGAGGATTGATCAAATCTTGTGCCAGAATGTGTTAAACAATGCTGCTGAAAGTTAAATAGAATTGTTTGCTGATAATCATTGATAACTAGTGATTACTATGCTTTTCCATAATTACTCAACGGAACAATCTAAGTAGTACCATCATAGGAAAAATGCCCTAAATTAAACCATGCCACAGGAGTCACGTCATCAATTTATTATTGCATAGAGTATATCAAATAACCCAGCTTTTCAAAAAAGAAAACTGAAGCGGCAAATATGAAAAACCTCATACATGCATTACCAAATAAAATCAGAAGAATGCTGAGTACATATAACAAGGCATGTGCTGTACAGAACCTGGACATGGTATTGTATGCAGTGGGAAGGCATGAAGCTTGTAAAGCTAAGAACGGAAGCAAATGATTATGGATTTGCCAGCCAAAAAACTACTTCCCAGGGAAGTTTGGGTTTAAACCTGGGATCTAGTAGAAACCACAGAAACAATGCATTGAGATGCAACTGATTATCTGAAGGATTTTGTTAACGAAGACATGCATGCATGCAGATGAAAGCATCTCATCAAATCGTCAAGTCATGCATGTGTGTTTTTCTCCAGTTGCATTGTCTTTTCCAGTGACATTCCAATGCAAACTCAGTCAGCCCTTTACCCTTTTGTTTTCTTTTGGTTGCTTTTTACTACCAGGCAAGTTTTCAGTATCTCTTTTGGCCTTACCTCAAGACAAACGGAAACTCGTGATATCTGTGTCCCCTGCTTTTGCATGGCCTTGAAAGAATGCATGCAACGAAGAATCTTGGAGGACGGGTGCAACATCAATCAGAAAAGAAAGCTTTGTTGTTTTCTGATGAGCAAAAATCCATACATCTAATTTGTAAATGCAATTTATTAACAGGAGATATGTTGTGGTAATTAGTCTAGCATTTTGCCCTTCAACTTGTGATGTTAGAAAACTACATTATCCTTCTCTTGTTTTATCCAAAACAATTTTGTTATTCTCTTGGAAACACTGAAAAGGAAAGAAAAGAAAGGAGAACACATGTAGATATGTGGAGTACTCCAGTAGTCTAGCAAGAAGTATATAGGACAGAGAACAATTGAAGCTGAGGAGAAATATGAGTTGACGTCTGAAAAACGCAGACGGGTTTGAACTTGGACTCGCCTCGGAAAGCATCCAATGTCTCTTGACCGCCATTATTCATGAGAGAGAGACCATAGATAAGGCTGTCGCAAAATACAGCAACATGGTATCTAGTCTAGCTACTCCTACACCCTATCATGCATATAATATTGCTGCCAAGGAGATCACGCATAAATTGCTGGAGATCTCACATCAAATAATGGCAGCACTTAACTGTTTCTATGGTTCTCGAGGCACATAGACCAGTGTCTGGCAGTCCATGCCATGCCACTGCAACTGGTCAGAACCCATCAGAACACACACAAAGAACTAACCCCAGCCACATATGCTATTTACTCATCTGTCTACCTATGCATCTAGTATCTGAAACATACCATTTCAAAAAAATTATTTTTTTGCACAGGATTGACCTGAGCTTTGAGGGGGGTTAATTCATGGAAATCTGAAGGCACTACTATTGATCTACAACAACACATCAGATGGCTGCACCGCATGCTCCAATAATGAAGTGATTGTGTGGCATGGTACTAGCTAGTACTACTCCAGTACCAGTGCTGGCAGCAGACGTGTGAGTGAAAGCCCTGGGCTGAACGACTGTGCAGGTGTGTGGGTAGTAGTACCAGTTGCCACTATAGCCTCGTGATAGGTCATTAGAAAGGCCCTGGCATCATCGTGTTAGCCTTGGCACACCCTGTACATGTGCATTTTAAAATAAAATTTAGCAAAGACTAAGAACACACGTCGGACCCTATGATCTAGGCATGCATGTACATCTGGAAGACCACACCCCGGAACAAAAAGATTCTAGGACAAGAGATAGGTGCATGGATTTCTTGAGGGAGGGAGAAAGATGACAAGAATGTTGTTCTGGCTTGCGTGACAGATGGGGGATGAACTGAGCTGAGCTGAGCTGAGCGTCTATCTCTCTCTACACAGTAAACACTCACTACACATGCATGTGTATACAGGTAGTACTTGCTCCACTGACATACGGCAGTGAGACTCCTCGGCCTTGCACTGTTGGGCTGCACAGTGGCACCCCCTAAAACCCTAGAAGAAGAAGGCTGGCCTGCCTGGCTGGGTTTCCTTCCATCAGCATGGAGAAAAGATGGCTGAAGCAAGAACCACTCGGAGGCACATGCACATGCTCCTCCCGAAAAGGAATCGTTCTAACGCCACATAAATTCCAAGAACCGAACACACCACCAACTCGTCGATCTGGAGGAAATCAATCAATGGTTTTTGCGCAGTTAATCTGTCATCAATCATGGAGTACGATGAGAAGGTGTGTGAATGGAAGAAACTGATGCGTGTGTGTTTGGAGAGGAGAGGACTATTCATTTCCAGCAGAAGAAAAGATCCATGGATGCCCAGGTTAGAAGAATCTCTAGTACGCATGCTCCTTCAGGAAAAGCCAGCGGCCAAGCCGGGAAAGAATCTTTTCGGGGGGAAACCCTGACGAGGAATGCCGCGACATTAGAACACCAAGAGCACCCTGATGAGGAATACTCTCTACCCATTCGTGCGCACAGTTCCGCACATGCAGATGCAGGCACAATCATATATACCAGGATGCACGAGAAAACGATATTTATTATGGAATTGTTTTTACGGACCCAGGAAATTTCACATTCAAAAAAATCTGTTAAATCGAAGTCAATAAATTATGATGCGCAAGAAGATGAAGAAGAAACCAGAATAGGGAGAAGCAGATGAAGAAATCATGCAGGGATCAATAGCAAGCAGCAAGACGGGGTATGGATGGATGGATTGATTCGTGGTTGCAGGAGCTAGCTAGCGAGCTGTTTTTTTTACCGGAGGAAAGGATATTGCGCAGCGATCTGCCGGAGATGGAGAGGGAGTTGAGTTGCGTCTCCACCCTCCTCAGGAACTCCATGGCCTCCTGCAGCGGCCTCGTCAGCTCCTCCCGGTACTTCACCAGCATCTCATGGTACGCCTCCTGCGCGCGCACCAGAAAAACAAGAACGAACAGGTCACCTCATGTGAGTACTAGCTACACAACCTAGGAAAAATGTTCCAAGATTTATCGGTTGGCGCACCATGAACTGGTCCAGCTCCGGCTCCGTCGCGGTGCCGAGGCTGCCGAGCGCCGTGCGCTGTCGCAGCTCCAGGTCCTGCGCCACCGCCGTCAGCCTCGCCAACACCTCCGGCGGCGCCCCCACCTACAGACCACCCAGGCTAAGCACAAGTACTTCCCAACAATAAACATGGATGCACTGTAGCTACTATTAAAAGGCAAGCAAGAAAGCATGCATGCTTCATGTTTGACATGAGATGTAGAAGAGAAACTTCTCGTGCAGGAGCAGAAGCAGATGCAGCACGGCAGGGCTGCTGTTAATGTTACCAGTACTAAGAACCATCACTTGCCTTCTGGCAGTCAAGGTAGGCGGCGAGGAGGGAGGAGTAGTGGGGGTGGGAGATGATCTTGGCCTTGATGGCCTCGACGTCGGCGGCGTAGGACGACGACGACGGCTCCTTGGCCGCCTTGGCGCACGCCTCCAGGAGGCTGCCGTTGGCCAGCTGCAGCACCGGGTTGCTACACCCGGTGCCGCCGCCGTGGCTTCCACTGGGCGGCGCCGTGTTCAGGGAGAGAGGGCTGTGCGCCAGATAGCCGGCGGACTGCTGCTGCTGCTGTTGCTGTGGGGGCGGCGCGATGACGGCGCTGAGCGGCGAAGAGCCCCATGGGAGCTGGCTGTGGTGCTGTCCGTGGGCGGTGGCTCCCAGCCCGAAGTGGTGGCCGATCTCCTCCATGGGCTATCTCTAGTGATGTAGTGGTGCAGCGATCGAGCTCTCCCGGCGACGCTGTCCCCGAGCTAGCTCCTGCGCAAAAGGAGACGGATTGAGCTTGAGGTGAAGTTCTTGGGCGGAGAGAAAGAGAAAAAGGGTTTGGGTTTGGGGAAGGAGAAGGGTACCTGCCTGCCTTGCCTTGAGCGGAATAGCCTTTTCTCCTTCTCTCTCTAAGCTATCATTAGAGGGAAGGAGATGGGGAGCGAGAGGAAAAAGCTGGAGGGCAATACTGCAGTACACATCTCGACTTTGGAGAGAGAGACAGTGTGGTGTAGGATGGTGCGCTGTTGTACTGTAATGTATAGTGCTGTGTCTGTGGGGGCTTTCTTTTTCGGGTCAAATCAAAGGGCTTGGAGTGGCTTTGTAGGGAATTTTTGTAGAATCCCCGGTGGAGACGAAGCTGGTTTTGTTTTGTTTTTCCTTTTTTTTCGCCCAAAGGATTTACTCTCGAGCCTTCTTTTGCTTATAGGATACGAATATCATACGAAGTGAGATGAATGTATCTCAACTTTTATAAGGAACGAGATGTACAATAATTTGAAGCATATGATAATATTTTTTCCATTGAGTCTATCCTAATATTTTTTGTCTTTTAAAATGTGAAGGATGGATTTCTGTCCTACGTAGGAATATGAATTCATTCATAAAAACCAAAGGGCTCCAAACGTTTTTTTTAAATTATATCCTATAGAATACATACAAACCAAAGGAGGCCTCAGATTGTAGAGCAGGCATTGCTATTGTATTGATGCATTTCACTGACGTGTGTTTCCTCACAGCCCAGCGAGAAAATTAATCGTACTTGAACTCACTGGCTCATAACAAGAACATCATCAAACTTGAGTAACAATACAATACGATACTTATACATGCGAATACATGACATCTACAATCATATATATGGTCTCGGCTATGATAGTGTTATCGTATTGTCGCATCGTTGCATTTCGTACGGCGCTATCCGCTGCCAAAGGAGGGAGATGATCGACGGGTAATAGGAGAATCTATATTTTTTTAAGGAAAGCACACATATATTGTATGTGTGTGTCTAGTGCACATCTAGATGTGCTCTACTTATTGCACATCTAAGTGAGTGAATGAAGCATAAAGAGTACAAAAAAAAAGAAAAAGAAAATATCCACACAAATCTCAACCTAAGATATAGCAAAACTGATATTTTATACGTGGGCTGCTTAAATAAAATTCTTTGGTTACACAGGTAGAGCTAACAACTGCAAGTACTGGGTTCAAGTCCCGGCACCCCATTTTTTTACTACTACTGTTTTTGGGCATGTAGCAAAATTTAGTAATATACAAACTTCTTCAAATTTCTTTAATATGAAAGCTGGTACAAAATTATTTTTGCAACATTAGAAACTTGATATAAACTTCAATACAAAATTGATCTATTCTATAAACTTCAATACAAAATTGATCTATTCTAAAATAAAAACTTGATACATAATCCAATATACCTAAATAGTTTATCCTCACTATCGTTATTATCTTAATATGCATGCATGCCACATCATCAAATGGCCACCATAACATGCATGCTTTTATTTACGTTATTAGTTTATCATCACTACTTCTATTTATTTTAAAATGCACACATGCCACCTCATCAAAGGTCCACTCAACATGCATGTGATTTTTGCATTGTATTATGCTACTTATATTCAATAAACATTTTTCAGCTATATAATAATCATATACAATATATAATATGTATTTTTAGTTTTTGTTCTTATATTATTTATCCAATGTTTATGTTTTATACAACTAAATCTCAAATATATATTGCAACTGATTCATGTAGCAACGCATAGGGATCATCTAAGCAAAATTGATCCATTCAGCAAAACAAACTTGATATAAAATTGGTCCATTCAGCAAAACCTGATACAAACTTGATACAAATTGCATAAGTCAGCAACAACATATGAACATGATGTTGCCATTGCGATGTTCAGCCATCTTTTCTATCAGCAACATCACAATGTTCTGTTGCAAAATTCAGAAAAATATGAACACTTTAAGCCTATGTTAAGACAAGAACAAGACCATGCTCCAACCTTGAATCATATACCAAATAAATTGAACATTCTTTCATCTTCTTCAGCAACACAAAACTCATCATAACTTGATCATGATTAATTAAACATAACTTGTTCAGCAACATAACACATTGTTATACATTACTTGATCATGACTAATTAAATATAACCTATGCATTAGTTAATCAACCATAACCATGAATCTAGCAAGGCCGGTATCAGCTGTTGAGCTAACTAGATAAACTTCTTCTGAGGGTTGGCATCATAATTAATTGTGCATAAATTTTGCAGAGAACTGGCATCATCTGTCCAGGCTAACTACATGATTTGATGTAGACGCTCTTTGACTTCATCATCCAACGAGTAGCAGCCTCCACCAGATCATCAATCAATCTGGAATTAGTTAGTACATTTAAATACAAATTGATGAAACGAGGAGAAGAAACGATCGGAATACCTAATCTGGTTGTTGCTGCCAAGCGGAGTAGCCCCTACTGCTCGTCGGCAGAGTGATGAAGGACGCCAAGCCTGCTTAGAGAGTGGGGATGCGGGAAGAACTACGAGGCAACTACAAGACCGTCGCCTACAAGCTTCTCCCTGTTAGTGGCTTCAACTTATCGTCGTCCATCACCTTCTAATTCCTTGGCAACGACGCCGACACCTCCATGACCACCCCCACGGCATCATCCTCCGGACCCAACGGGTGAAAAACGCAAGAAAGGTATGCCTTCCAATGCCCTTGGTGCACCGAATCCCCTCCGACTCCATCATTACCCAGTAGGTTATCTCAACCGGAAGGGCTCCGTCTCTAATCACCCGCCGCTTCTTCTCCTTCGTGACAGCCAACACAATCCCCAATGATTCCATGTAGAGCACGGCCCCGTTAGGAAACCAGCTACAGATCTCGTGGAACCTAGTGAAGAATCTCTGCGAGTTTTGGAGTGATCTCGCCCAACCCAGTTTTTTTTGTAAGAATGATCTATTCAACCCAGCAAATGGGTGGATTTCTAAAAAAGGAAATGGACTGTAAATTCTCAGAAAGATATGGGATGCATGTCCGCAACATCATTTTTTCACCCAGTCCAGCAATTAGGTATATTTAAAGAAACTCAAATGGATTGTAAATTCTTAAAAATGCAAATGGCATAGGAATTCATGGCAAACTTCCAGAGCACGTATGTCAAGCCCCCAAATTCTATGCCCCGACCCTAGTGGTGCAGAAACTAAGAGAGTCTGTGCGAAAATTCTAGAACCGTTTACTTACAAAGAAGAACCAGATAGTTGACTACAACAACGTAGAAGCCCTAGTGGCATTTTGGAACAGCACCAATGACGAGTGGTTGTCCAGTGACTTTGGACAGTTCAAGCATAGGACCATGGCCGCTCTCACGCAAATGATGTCTACTTTTTGCGTCGATGAGGACAACTGCCTCTTAAAGAAGAAAGGCCGGAATGACAACCCGAGCACATCTGAAGTGTGAGACGAAAAGGGAAACAACAACGCAACCGGAGGAGCAAGTGTCACAGCAGGAGCAACAACAACGCCGAGGACGGCAAGGTCAATGCCGGTTTCGGCAACCGATGTTAAGGTGGCAGAAACACGAGGAAGCCCTTCCAGGGGCGTAGAGGTGATAAGTCTTAGTTGAATAAAATCTTGGACCAGCCCTGCGCCATCAATGGTAACCAGGAAAAGTTAGTGACCCACAACAACCGGAACCGTTGGGTCATCGAGCAAGCTGGGAAGATCATAGCTGAAAATCATGCCAGAATCCAACGTCCTAACGATAAAAATGGATATGAGAAACTGCCCAGGACAAGCAACGCCAGCCAAAATAGTTCCCTCCTGAGGTGAAGCACGTGAACATGATTTACGCCAGTCATGTCACCAAGAAGGAGAGGAAGCATGCGCTCCGCGAGGTATATACCGTGGAACCCGTGATGGCCTACAAGTGGACATGGTTTAGTTGTAGTCTAAGTAAGATTATGGATGCCCCAAGGTGTTGGAAGACGTTGCATGGAAAACAAAAAAAATATATGCACATGCAAGATCTATCCATGGAGATGCATAGCAACGAGAGGGGAGAGTCTGTCTACGTACCCTTGTAGATCGTAAGCGAAAGCGTTTAGTAACGCGGTTGATGTAGTCAAACTTCTTCGCGATCCAAACGATCAAGTACCGAACATACGACACCTCCGCGTTCAGCACATGTTCGGCTCAGTGACGTCCACGTCTTCTTGAACCATCAAGACGGCGAGGTAGTGGATGAGTTCCGACATCACGACAACGTGGCAACAGTGATGGAGATGCTATCTCCGCAGGGCTTCGCCTACGCACTACGAAAAAATGACCGAGGGTGTAAACGGTGGAGGGGGCGCCCCACATGTCTAAGACAATGTTGTGGTTGTGCTAGGTGCCCCCCTTCCACATATATATAGGTGGGGGAGAGGGGAGAGGCCAAGGGGCGCCCCAAGTAGGGCCGAATCCTACTTGGGGACTTCTCCAAGCCGCCGCCCTTCCATATTGAAGGAAATATGCCCTAGAGGCAATAATAAAGTTGTTATTTGTATTTCCTTATATCATGATAAATGTTTATTATTCATGCTAGAATTGTATTAACCAGAAACTTAGTACATGTGTGAATACATAGACAAACAGAGTGTCACTAATATGCCTCTACTTGACTAGCTCGTTATTCAAAGATGGTTAAGTTTCTTGACCATAGGCATGTGTTGTCATTTGATGAACGGGATCACATCATTAGAGAATGATGTGATGGATAAGACTCATCCGTTAGCTTAGCATAATGATCATTTAGTTTTATTGATATTGCTTTCTTCATGACTTATACATGTTCCTCTGACTATGAGATTATGCAACTCCCGAATACCAGAGGAACACCTTGTGTG